CCCACCCTTTCTGGAATGTTGCTTCCTTCCCAGGTGATGGGCTACACACCTGATATTCATCATCTCATTGAATCTTGACCTCGATGCCCACAATAGCAAATGACTATCTTCACGTAACAGGAGAGTAAACGGAGTTCATCTGCCCGAGCTCATAAGTAGCTAAACAACAGCCCCGAAGTTCATCTAGTGACAAAGCTACGCTTTCCCTCCTGCATGAAACTGCCCCCTGATTCATAAATACTAGGTGGAAAATGATGTATATAGCAAGAGCCAATGAAAAGATGAGAGCTTGAATCCAACCAGGATTCGGGAATCACCAGACCCCATGCCGCGTCGGCTGAATGAACACAAGTGTGAGGTCTGGACCGAGGGAGGGGCTGGTTTCACCCACCTTGGTGGGGGTCAGAACATGGCCAGAGCTCTGGCCTCAGCTCTGCGGGTTGAACTGTGCAAATGCCCAGTTCAGGCTACAGTTCTCCCAGAGGAGGGTCAAGAGAACAGAAAGTCAGGAGTGCACCGAGACCTGCATCCTCGGAGGGAGGCAGAGGTAGCGATGACCCTTCACCAGCAAAGGGTAAAGTGTGTGAAGTGGGGATGCCGGAGAGCAGCCTGGAGGGAAGGGGGTGATGCTTCTTCTCTGCGGCCAAGCGAACGGAGGGTGCCAGAAAATACATTTGAGCTCAGCAGAATAAGAAATTCCGCCAAGTTGTCTTCAAGCCCCTCCCAGCCTTTGCAGAGCTGACCTGGAGACCCCCCACTCAACCCTCTGCACCAGGGGCAGAGGGTACCAATCCACCTTATAGAGGCAGTGAGGGGCTTAGTGATGTCAAGCAATCTGCTCGAGGTCACACAGGGGAGCGGAGCTGTGACTAGCATCCAGATCTTGCTCCAAATCATCCTGGGGGGGAAGGTAGGAGGTTCATCAAGCTCAGCGGGACCACTGGCTTCCACTCTCACCTTTGGCATCTCCAAGGTCTTCCCAGGATTGGGGAGGATCGGAACACCTCCCTTCCTAACTTCTCTCAATTCCATCATGACCTCTTTACCCCGATAACCACGGCTTCCCTCAGGGCTGCATCCTCTCCATGTTGCACTGCTCTAGATCATTCTGGAAGTCTCCCAACCACCCTCATCTTCCTTTTAAATTCCAGGGACATTAAGAGGTACATTAGAATTACCAGGGAGCTTTAGAATAGACTAGGGCTCCTCCAGGAGTTACATATAAAGTTATAACAATCAAAAACAGCATGGTACAGGCTTAAGGACACATAGACCAATGGAATGGAACTGAGAGCCCAGAAACAAACCTAGACACTACAGCAAGTTAATTTTCCATAAGAGCGCCAAGACTAATCAATGGGAAAAGAACAGTCCTTTCAACAAGCGGGGCTAGAAGAACTGGATAACCACCATGTGCCCAAGAATGAAATTGGACCCCTACCTCACACCATATACACAACTTACCTCAAAATGGACCCATGACCTACATATAAGAGCTAAAAACCATAAAACTCCTAGAAGAAAACAAAAAGGTAAATCTTTTTGACTTTGGATATGGCCATAGATTTTTAGGTATGACACCCAAAAGCGTGAGCAACAAAAGAAAAGGGAGATAAACTGGAACCCGGGTACAGGTTCTCCTGGGACAGCCAGGCTTCTGTCTTCCCATCCTTGCCACCTGCTTCTTGTTGTCAGATCTCAGGACGGGGAAGAGCCCCAGCTTCCACAAAACTGCCTTCACTAGTTCACTCAACGTGCTGGAGAGGGCTGGCTGGGGCGATTAAAACCATCAGGGGACCACTTTCTCCCAGAGCTCCGAATTCCATGCAAGGCTGGGTGGAGAAGGCAGGAGGAGGGCCACAATGAGTGAGACAGGGTGATGCCCTGAGTCCTGCGGGGGGCCTTGTGGATACTGTGGGTGCCTCTGGGGGTGCTCTGGGGAGTCACGGAGGATCTATGAGTGCTATCACTGGCAATGTGGGAAGCCACCGTGGTGCTGTGGGGAGCGGCTATAGACCTCATAGGTGTAGAAGGGTGGCTGCCACGTGGGATAGATTTGGGGGCACTGTGGGTGCTGTTGCCAACACAGCATCCTTGGGACAGGAGGCCTGTGTTTAGATCCCAGTCTGACCGCTTTTTGGACATGAAACCCGGAATAATTTACAATTTCTCTGAATCCCAGCTATCCTCACCTATAAAGAGCTTATTAACACCTACATCTTGGGGTGTGGGGAGGATTAGCGATTATCTACAGAAAGGGTTCTGTAAATGTGATCGGGAGGGAAGTGTAAACCACGGGATAAAGGCTCAGGAAGAACTGTTCACACCCACACCTGGGGTGTGCTCCACACGCTGGGGTGTCATAACAGAGAGCTGACACAACCCAGGCCCCCCTCTTGGCCCTTTTTTAGACCGTGCATTCGGAAAGAGGTATGTGTCTCCACGGTAACCTCCCTGTTTGGTCACAAACACCCAGCTCGTCCATCCCAAGAGCCCAAGCCTCTTCAAGGAGGTCACCTTGGGAGGCCACATGATCCCAGGGGGCTTCTGTTGTTCAGAGCAAGCAGGAAAGTCCTCCCCATCACAGCCACCCAGTGAGGAACATGCTATCTGCCCATTTGACAGGTGAAAAAATAGAGACTCTGGACACAAGATCATTCACGGGAGTCAAAGAGCTCCCAAAAAGCGGAGCTGGAACCCAGCCTCCACCAGTCCGGGCCCCAAAGGCCAGCAGACATTTCCCACAGTGGCACATGCTTGTCTGCCTCCCGGTGACGGTCCTCTTTGTCCTTTCCCGGGACTCTACACCGATCTGTTTCCTAGCTAACAAGGTGGTTGGGTGGTGAATCCGAATCAATTTGCTCCCCTGCAGCCCTCCTGAAGGCAAACTGAGAACAAAAGCACCCCAGCCGCTTTTCTCTGTGCTAAAGAGTTTCCTGCCTCTCGTACACGGAGGCCCATGGTTTTCCCCTGATGGAGAAACATCCCCAGCAGAAAAGTCCTGGGGAAGTTAAGCTTTTCCTGACTCGCTTCAGCGCCTTCTCCTGATTAAGAAAAGCGTGCGGGATGCTGGCTCTGTGATAAGCCAGTGGCTTCCTGTGGGGAGCAGGGCTGGCTGCCAGGAGGCTGCGGGTGAGATTTTGGCCCAGGCAGCCGCCAGGGCGGGGTGAGCTGCACGACATGGGGGCCTCATGCTCCCCAGCTACTGTCTACCCAGGGCCATTTGGCCTTGCGTTATCCCTCTGGGAGCCAGCCACCATGCCTTGGGTTCCGGCCTGAGACACCCCAGCTGGCTGGTGGTACACTCCAGAAGTGAAAGGATGAGGCGGGTATCAGATCAATGACCGGGAAAAGTGGCCCAGTGCTTCTCAACCACAGTGCCAGAGGCAGCTGGAACCACAAATGCCATCACATGGTGGGGTATAGCACCCCACAGTGTGAACATCCCATCGACCCTTGCACCAGGAGTCTTGGGATGGGAAGGCGGTGGGGGGGGGGTGGCTAGGGAAGGGTCTGTACCTCCCTCATCTCATCTTCTCCCCAGAACAAACCCCTGGGTAGCATTATGCTCCCATTTTAGAGATCAGAAAACCAAGACCTGCAGAGATGTCACGACAAGCCCCAAGTGTCAAAGCCAAAATCTAGAATAAGGAAACAAATCATTTTTATGTCCTTTCAAGCAATGTGATTTCAAGAGGTAATCTGGCTTAAAGGATTTGGTTAACCTTAAGATTCAAGTCATGGAGGCACTCAAAGGAAAATACACAAGCATTGTAGGATCGTTCAGACAGGGCTTCAAAACTCCACCATATCTCACTCGCTGCTGTGTGACCTTGAGCAAGTCACTTCACATCTCTGAGGCCCCGTTCTCTCCTCTCTAAGATGGAGGCAATTGTGGTGCCAAGACCCCCGGGCCGTTATGAGGACTGAATGGACAATGCGGGGCTTGTGCCTAGCACAGCGCCTGGCATGCAGAAGATCTCAGTTGGTACTGGTTGATCCGAGGCTTCCCATCAGCCAGGCCTCAAACTCAGTCCATCTGCCTCTCAGACTCTGTGGTCTTTCCACTGAGGGTCTGAGGCAGCTTTGGCCAACACTGGCAATCAAATCTCCTCAGAGCCTCCAATGTCCTTCCTCTTCACAACCTTCCCCAAGCCCCCACCCCCCTCTGCTCCCCTGCCGCCTCACCACCCCCGTCACTTCCTCAGGTTCAGCCTGGGGCTGGGAACCTCAGAAACTGAGGCCATAAGGCCTCGGACAGAGATTCCAGTCATTGCTGCCCATGCTACTGGTGAGAGAAACAAGGCCCTATGAGAGAAATGACTTCTGAGGACCCTTGAGGCACAATGGTGGTCCAGACTGGGCCAGAGGACAGATGTCCTGGCTGTCCTGGCTCTTCATTCAGGAACCTTCCATGAGGCCACGCAGCCCATCACCAGTCCTGGGATTGTGGGCAGCCCAAGAAGGTTCTGGAACCCAAGAAGAAAACCAAGACTTTTCTACTGTCATTTCCATCCTGGAATGTGAACTGTATCCAAAAGAGAGTCCTGAGATGGAGGGTGGGGGAGTCATTCTAGGAAGGTCTTTTCTTCTCACAATCCCAAGACTATGGTGGGTGTGGAAGTGAGGAGAGGGGAAGAGCTCTGCCTTCCCTGGGAGGGCTCACTGCCTCCTGTGCTTCAACCCTCACTTCCTGGACCGACCCTGAGGAGTGACCATGATGGGCGGCCTACTCATGGGGCAGCCGCCAGCCCCAGTGAGACCCCACCTTGGTGCTAGCCTTTCTCTCCTCACACCTCAGCCATGCTCCCCAACACTGAAGAAATGTGTGAGTTGGGGATAAGAGGGAAGCCGCCCTTTGCTTGCCCTGCACTCAGGTACCAACTGAAAGCTCTCTCACTTGGCCATGGAGGATTCGTTGAGTAGAAAGAGAAGAGGAGAAAAGATCAGACTCTTACTTGAAGAAGCTGCCGCCATGTTGCCATGTGGCCAAACCATACCTGTTTCAACTGGTGTCTGTTCTTTCCAGGAGACTCAGGATTCTCTTGAGGTATCCTTTCGATGGCTTCAGGATAAATTCTAGAAGGAGAAGAAAGAGACACAAATTTTAAAAAGGCAGCAGCTAGTGGGGCCTGTGGCTGCTGGGGGCCACCTCAGTTCAGGCGTGTCCCTGTGGCCTAGGTTCCTGCTCTCTCCTTCTCTCTCTGCAGGTGCAGAAGCCAGATGGGGCGGCTGTGGCCAGAAAGACAGAATCAAGCACCCAGCCTCACAGAGGCTTCCAGGAGGTGTCCCCAGAGCCTACAGACTGGCACATATTTTCAGTCTTCCAAAATCAGCCCAGGAGCCTGTACAGTGTGGCGTGATGACATCACGCATGCTAATCACAATATCACATCACATGTCTTTGCTTCTGGCTAGAACATTACCAACCCATCCTAGAAACTCCACTCTCCTCAGGCGGGAAAAAAAAGAAAAAGAAAAAGAAAAAAATGCTTTCTGAGTAATGGTGAAAATGCGAAGGAGAATTAATCATGGCTTAATGAATGCAGGCTTTGGGGGCAGACCAACATTTCCCAGATCTGGTATCCATGAAGAGACAGAAAAGAAGAGAGGTCTTCGGTAGTGAAAAAACAACTCAGCCCCTGAGTGCGGGGGCCAGAAGCCCAGCCTCTCCCCCACTTCCTCTCTGTCAGTTTGACGGAGAGCTCCCGGGTCACAGGAGAAGGATCAAATTCGCCACGTCCAGGCTGCATACCTGCCAGCCCGGGCCGAGGCCAGCCCTGGGGGACCGGCTTGTTCCCATGCACAGCCAAGGAACAAAAGAGCAGAACTGACAGCACAGATGGGACAGCCGAGTCCCCTGACCCCAAATCTCCCAGACTCCCACCCTTCAGGACCGGCCGCGCCGTAGAAGCTGCGGTCAAGTTTCACGTTGTCTCAGACGCTGATGTCGACGATCCCATGAGACAGTGTCCCCACTTTGGGGATGAGGGCCACAAGCCCTGAGGAGTTAAATAACTTGCCCAAGGTCATCATGCCCAAATGTGGCAGAGCTGGGACTAGAAGGCAGGTCTGTGGGAGGTCAAACCTGGTGTCAGTACCATGTCCATGGGGTTGTGAGGAGAGACACAGGCACAAGAGCAACGAGCTCCGGGTCTGCTCCACGGATCCTAGCTAAGTGCACACGGCGCAGACAGCAACTTCTCGGGACACCCTGCAAACTGATAGGGAACAGGGCTTGGCCAGAGAACGTGACCCCAGTTGGCTTTCTTTGCCTCCAGAGTCCACCCAGGCAGAGTCGACCCAGGAAACGTCACATATCACGGAGCAGACCTAGGCTACAATCAAAGGAACTCATGATCTATACACATACACATACCCATATCCATCCCTAGACAAAGGCACGGACCTATGGCTGGGGATACAGACGTACATGTACATAGCTTTGATTGTAACTACAAAAGTGAGCATTCTTCCTTATCCATCCATTGTAGTTCATAGGACCACTGCAAAATCTCTGTAACATGACCCTCTAGGCTTTCTTCTATGCAACCATTTACGTGTGTGTGTGTGTGTGTGAGTGATAGAGAGAGAGAGCGTGCCTGCATGGGCCCCCATGGAGATGGTGGGACTCACACACACTTTCCACGAGTGGGATCTTACCACACACATTCTGCATCCCCAGCTAGCAGTTGCCATGAGGTCCACCCATGGATCCAAGAATATGGAGACCTTCTGGAGTCTTCTGCCCTCCTTCTAGGTATGGACCATCATTTATTCAGCTCTCCCACCTTACATACGCGGGATATTTCCATTCCCAGCTGCCACAACCTTGTTGCTACCATCCCCTCCCCACTTACATCACCACGTGGGAACGTTCGAGCAAGTCCACAGCCTGGACGCCTGGAAGTGTGTCCACATTTGAATAGCTTCCGACAAACCACTTTCCCCAAACAGTGGATCGATTCCCCCCAGAGAGCAGGACAGAAGGAGTCCCCTTTTCTTGGATGTAAATTTACACCGTGGGCTCTTCTGCCTGCCGAGTTGTCTTTCTGGCCACCTTCTGGTAGCCTAGAAGGCCAAGTCCCCTAGACAAAGGGAGACGTTTATCTCTTGGCTCCCGCAAGACGGCCACCACTCCACTGCCTGGGGACATGTCTGAAGAACTCGGGCCCACCTGAGCCGGGAACTACATTTATGGGCTCAGAACTGATAATGAGCTTTTATGAGCTCTGGGGACCATGAGGAACACGTATTAATGTCAAGCGTGCCCATCAGCCACGCAGCCTGGGTGAATGTCACACATTAACGAAATTAGAGTTTGCAGCCACGTCGGGAGGGAGCTGCGGGAGGCGTGTCAGGCGGTGTGGGCAGAGCCTGTTAATAATAAAATTACTTTGCACTCCTGAGCCTGAAGCTGTCTCCCGTCTTCGATGGAATTCTGCCTTGCTGCAGCCTGAGAGGAGATTAGTTTATTACTGGTGTGCCAGGAAAGGCAAAATCCAGCACTAATCCTAATTCCCATTTAAGCAAATCTGCATTATGTGAAGGAAACCAGCTGGGCTCAGAATTTCTTCCCCCCGCCCAACCCCCCACTTCTCCCAAGATCTCATTCCGGCCCTTTCTTCTCTGGGGAGTAGGGGGGGTCACCACAGATGTCAGAGCAGGAGCCCTCCTGGGAGCAGGAAGAGAATCCCAGGGTTTACGGCCAAGAAGGGGAAAGGGCTGGGTAACAAGAGGGGGCTTTGGAAGATGGTGCACTGGGAGATGGTGCTCACCACTGACCCGGTTGTCTCTGGCTATGGGGAGAAAAAGCCACCACCTTCTCGGCCCAAGGCTCGCTCTTGCCTTGAACAAAGACGCCTTGAGAGCCTCTGACGGGCTCTGTCACTGTGAGCATGTGACCTCCCTGCTTCAGGCCTCCAGTCCTCATCTGGGAAACCACAAACAACAGCAGGTAGCTCATATGATGTTGTGAGGATCACATGAAAGATGGACAGACAGACAGGACCCCAGAGAGCCCGGCACACACTGCCCCGTTTCTTGACTTAAGACTCCCGGGCTGATAACAGCACCATTATTTGAGGGCCTCGCTTAGTGAATTATGACGCAACACTACGTGTAGGGACACATCCTGGTTCTGGAGACCTTAAAATAGGAAAAAAATCAAAGAAAGAGTGCCTTAAAATCCATGAAGCAGAGGAAGCGCTCAATCAAGGGCAAGGAACGTGACGACTAGGAGCCAAGTTCTCCTGTTGTCTGAGGTCTAGCTCAAAGCGTTGATCTTCTTCTTCCTTCCGAACGAAGCCACGCTGGTCTGCGTGTGGGAAACCAGCCCTCAGTTTGTGAGAAAAGTCCTGAGAAGGAACTTCAGCATCCTGGATGAGACCCAGACAAGACGCTGATGTTTCTCGCTCTAGTTTTAAACCAAAATGGATCACACGTACCCAGAGTTGTGCGTGCCATGAGGACACAGTCTCCCGAGTCTTCCCAAACATGGTACCCAGATCACAGACTCCTCTCTGGTTTCCCAGCCCTTGTTTCTCCACCATCTCACATGTCCAAAGTCACCCGTGACCTTCCTTCTCTGTGGCCCCTGCCTCTCCCTGCCTGGACTGAGTCTTAGTGTTGCCCATCAGCTTGCTGCAAATGGGCTCCTAGATGGTCTGCTAGGCTGTGGCCTTGTTCTCTCCAAACTGCCTCCTGGTTTGCTGTCAGACGGAGCCCAGAGATGTGTCTCTCTCTTGCGTCAGTGGGTCCCCTGGCTTCCCTTTGCCTACATATGGGCCTTTGATCATCTGAGCCCCACTTGTCTTTTCCAGGGGGCCTTCAGGTCCTCACAATATGCGCAGACCCCACAGTCACACTGAACTCACTGGGACCGACATGCCCCCGCACCCCCCGCGACATGCTTGGCCCAACCTCACTGCTGCTCACTCCACCCGGCAGTCCCTTCTTCCTTTCCTAACCTTGAAATCTACCTCTTCTCCCGCTCTCCAAAACTCCTGGCAAACTCCTGCTCATCCTTCAAAATCTTCCTTCAACAATTCCTCTTGTCTGCACAAGACCTGCACAGGCATGATTGGGCTCTGGGCTCCACTAACAATTTGTGTGTCTAAGTGGTCAAGTCATCACAGTGTCACATGTGTTTTGTTTTGTATGGTTTTTCTCCTCTACCAGACTCTGAGCTCCTCGAGGATAGAGATGGTCTCTTACTTCCTCTGTGGTCTCAGCTCCTGACTCAGCAAATTAAGTTGGATGGAGGGAAGGGTGCTAGGAGAGATGGATGGATGGATGGATGGATGGAGGAGGAGAGAATGGGTCTATAAAAGAGCCTAAATGGTGGGAGGGAGGAAATGGGTCATAGTTGGTTGCAGGGATGGATGAAAAACAGTAGGGATGGAAGGATAAATGGATGAATTGATGGGTGGATGGACAGACACATGCATGGAGGGATGGATGGATGGATGGATGGATGGATGGATGGATGGATGGACACATGCATGGAGGGATGTATGACAGCAGGGCAGATGAAGGCAGGGATGGATAAACAGCTGGGTTGAAGAGGAACGGATCTCCGAAAGGATGGGTGAAATTAACAACAGCAAGACAGAACTAGGTTAATGGGAGGAGAGAGGGAATAAATGACTCAACCACTTGTATAATTTTCTCTGGACCCCGGGGGGCTGAGCCTCTTGCAGCTATGGGTGATGCCTTGCTTTCTCCCTCTAGAGTTTGTGGGTCTATGCAGAGACCACACAATGAACATTGGCAGCCCCCAGCTCTGCCCCATCTCTCCTCACTGCCCTAGCTGTGGACCCACAAGATGAGGCCTCAGGAAGGAAGGGTCAGAGTTACATCTTGCCTTGGTCTTGATCCAGGTGGTGAAGACCAGGTGGTGAAGATTGAAGTTTCCCTGTGTCTGAGTCTGGCCCCAGGCTGTGGGGCAGGGGGTTGGCCAGCCATGCGACAGGTCTGCAATGGGCCAACTGCTTGGTCCAGAGCAGATGGATGGCTGATGATGGGGGTTTCAAGCTCCCTTGCAAAGATGCCATTTGGGAGACCCTAAAATGGCAGAA